TGTCCCTCTAGTTATTACCTAGGACGGAATGCCATAATTCATGATGTGCATTGAAATCCCAGACGGTTATTGCCTTCCAATAGATGACTAATGTCTGACAAGTAACACGAGGCGCAACTATTTAACGGCGGAATATAAACGTTAAACACCTCTACCTCGGTAGTACAACACTTGACAGCTACCCACATACATTCCATGTATGGGTCACTAGAGTCAAACTTAAGCGAGATAGGTCAGAGTGATGCAATAGGAATGCTAATCCTCCACCTCTCGTGTTGTTGAGCTTCGTTTCCTGGATCGCAGTGCCTCTTCGACTCATAAAATCCACGATCTCGTTGATTTTTCCTCGTAATACATAGCAGTTGAATTAGAGAAATGAGACATTATCAGGAGTTGTGACAGCAATGTGCTGTGTTAGCGGTTCCGGAGGAGTCACGTAGTCCTTAAACGACGATGTTGACGTGAACCGAGGTGATGACGACGACTTACTGGGGACTGCATTGGCGCAGCATGAAGCAATGTAATCTTTTTCGCTATACTCCTGTATATCTAAATAAACCCATTCTCCGGTTCCGGGGTTTATTTCAATCCCTGCACGAACCAAAAGAATCCAGAGCAAATATTCTGAGCAATTTAGCTCCCATGTTGAAAAAATAGACGAGCATGTACTTGCTGGATTGACAGCTCTTGGTCGAATTTTGGTTCTTCCGAGTCATTCCGTTGCATAGAACCGGCCGTCGTGGGACTGTTTAATTTTGGTAGGAAGATTTCCTATCCTGTGGGAACCTAAAATATGAAATTACAGATAATATCGAATATTAAGAGACACCGTTATAATGAGCTAACCGTGATTTATAAAAAAAATCCCTCAATTTTCGAATCCTCAAAATATGCATCTGGCAACATTTGTCGGCTTCGCTTGCGGTGGAATGATAATATTGATTTTACATTTTCTGTGGCTTCCTGCGGTGGCGACAAGCCATAGGGTGTTCAAATGAATGCGTCGCTGTCGGTTGCTTGTTTTCAGTCTACAAATATGATCTTAATTTTTGACAGTATTCGGAGCACAAATTCAATAACGACGGCAGATCGTTGAGAAGGATAGCTGAAAGAAATTAGTTTGGCCGAAAAAAATAGAGTTGTGATATAATCTCTGACACTGGACTGCTGCGTAGTCATGGTGGTGGTGGTAGTAGTGTGATCATGTCATTAATGCGAATGACATATGAACATGTAAATGATTGTTGTTGTCGAGGTATTCCAACGGTTGTTTCGACTAGCTGTCGAAATAGGCAGCTATGTTTTACGATATTGTAATAACATATATATTAAGAAATATTCAAAACAAACAACAAGATCTACTTTAGTTTTGATATAATCTAATAAGTTTATGATATTTAAAAAAAATATTTTTATTATTTAAAATGAAATATGTTAATTGCATATAGCCTGGAAAATTAAAATATAAATTATTTAATATTTTCATACAAATTTTTAAATGAATAAATTATATATTTATATGTGTACCTTATAGGCCGCACTTGTATTTGGTATATCAACTATATTTTTTCAATACCAAATGAATACGAAACCCATCCCACATATTTATCGAATTGAAAGAATTTCAAATATTCTATTAAAATACTTGGAACCAACCATCCATCCATCCACAACCCCTTGGGCAAGAAGATACAAACCAAGCCCTAACTATTTTCTTCATCTTTCGCTTAGCTTGTTATGGGGCCACATATTTCCTCACCCAAGTTTCTTTTTTGGAAAGGACCACACATTAGCCAAGGCAACATTGTTTTGCATCTCCATAATGACACAAACGTTGAAATCATTTTTGCAAATTGTATTTGGGCGCCACTCTCATTAGAAAAATCAAACTTGACGAGTGGCGTTTCTTAACAACAACACAAAACACATCAAACAAAACAATAGCCAGCCGTAGATTAAAACGCCAGAAGCTATGGTAGAAAACTGATAGTCGTATCTTAGCTTAAATTGTTTGAAATCAATAGAAATTTTGTAATAGAGAATTGTTATTATTGTTTGAATTTAAACAATGAGTCAAAATAAAAAAAACGAAAGAAACTGACGGGCACTCCCAAGTCATGCTTTGGGGGGAGATAACAATTTCTAATCCATTACATTTTAAGCTGCAAAACAATTTGTTGTTGCAACAAAAAAAGCCCTTACCCAATTGCTGTCAACATTAGAGGAGATATTTGTGTTTGTTTGTTATCAGCAAATTTGCGGAGAATGTTGCAGTAACTAATGGGTTAATGTACAAATAGATAGTATGAATTAACGTTAAAGCATACTTTTAGGATGACAGCACAAAAATAAACAACGTTTAAAAAACAGGGTGATTACAATACAAAAGCGTGACCGCTGATTTTTCGAAAAGTATATCAGAAATTATCCTTTTGGAAAAAAGTGGCACAAATCTTTTGAAAAGGTGTCACAAAATTTGGCACACTATTTTTCTACATATTAATGGAATCTGATGAAATTATATATAAACGGTACTAAAAAATTTTAAAATCGGTAAAAAGCTAAGTCTTATATTCAAATATTTCAATATTTGAGACGATTTAAATAAAATGAACATTATTCCCATCCCAAGCCTGTATCCCATGAAAAGTCATTGTAGACTCTATTCGATACCCAATGGAAAACTTTTATGTTTTCATTTACCTACCTTTATTTGGGTTACAAAAATATGTCATAAAATGCACAATAACAATTCCCTGTACCACAGGATGTAAAAATTCTAATGGGCAATTTCAATAAAACCAATTAAAAAATGGTTCACATGAATATTTCCTTAGTAAATATCTTCATGTACGAGCATTTCAAAACAAAGTGGCAAAATATAGGAAGAAGTTGGACAAAATTTCAAAAAGTGGCACATTTGGTATCAAAACAAAAAAGTGGCACAAGAGTGACAAGGCCGAAAAAAAGTATCAAAATTGCTACTTTTGTGACATAACGGCCACTCTGGATGGAACCTTCCTTATGGGGATACAAGCTTTGGTGAGTATATTAGACATCCTGATAGACAAATTCGCCATAAGTCCAGTTTTTAAGTAACGACAACAAAGGCGTGGATTTATTAAACATATTTATACCCTTTACCACACTGTGGTCTTTGTGCACATGTTTGTAACAGACAAGAGGAAACGAGATAGACATATGGTTCCTTTTGAGAATATCCACAGAATCACTTTCTAAGTCGATTTATGCATGTCCGTCCGTCTGTAGATGTTAAATTGTAAACAAAGTACAGGTCGCATTTATTATCCGATTTAGATGAAATTTGGCACAAGTCACTTGTTTGGCCTAAGGACGAAGCCTATTGAAATTAAAAATCGGGTCAGATATAAATATAGCTCCCATATATATTTTCGTCCGATGTAATGTAAATAGTGCATCAAAGTCCCTATATATCTTTCGATTTGCACGAAATCTGTTATAGCGTACTGAATTAAGTCCAGAATGATGTTTGTTAAGTTTCGTGAAAATCGGTTTAGATATAGGTATAGCTCCCATATATATTTTCGTCCGATTTTATATAAATGGTTCACCAAAGTCCCTTTGATTTACACGAAATTTGGTACAGCGTACGGAATTATGTCTAGAGTGATGTGTGCTAAATTTCGTGAAAATCGGTTCAGATTTAGATATAGCTCCCATATATATTTTCGTCCGATTTAATGTAAATGGTACACCAAAGTCCATATATATCGTTCAACATGTACGAAATTTGGCACAGCGTATTAAATTAAGTCTGGAATGATATGTGTTAAGTTTCGTGAAAATCAGTTCAGATTTAGATATAGCTTCCATATATATTTTCGCCCGTTTAAGGTAAATAGTGCACCAAAGTCCCTTTTATAGCCTTCGATTTGCACGAAAATTGGCCTAACGTACTGAATTAAGTATAGAACGATGTGTGTTAAATTTCGTGAATATCGGTTCAGATTTAGATATAGCTCCCATATATATTTTCGTGCGATTGTAGCTAAAAAGTGCATCAAAGTCCCTTTATATCCTTCGATTTGCACGAAATTTGGCATAGCGTGCTGAATTGAGTCTAGAATGAATTGTGGTAAGTTTCGGTTTAAATGGCTTAGGAAACTCCTCAAAATTGAGAATTAAATCGAATATAAATCGATTCACATAAGTTTGCACCTTTGTAAACAAACGACTCTATATCTGTCCAAATGGACAGTAAGGTTCATCCAATTTCTTGCTAACGGTCCTTCAAAACAGCGACGTCTGTTAGAACACATCTGTTGAACATACCCAAAGCGGTGAAGGGTAGTCCGACCGACTTTTCTACTTTCCATACTGTGTTTCTTTTTTTTTTTTGCAAATTAATATTCAAAGAGCTGTAAAATACACAACACAAAATAGCATGAAAAATAATCTATTTAATATAAATCTATTTTTCATCTCATTTGTTTACATAGTTTACAAAATTCACATTCCATTTTCAATAACACACCTCTCATGCCACTTAGTTTTTATGCGCGGCTATTAAATTAATTTCCAATAATATACTCGGAAATAGCCTCAACTAAATACGAAATCAATGCAAGTCTACGAAGAAAAATCCCATAACATAAGCTTATCAGTTTAGGAAATAATGCGTAAAAATTTGCAATCAAGGAGTGGAACTAAACTCTTATCGCTATTATAAAGCGCAACTTATTCTATGCAACTGAACTTGATCTTGAAATCGTTGACTATAAAACGGATTGTAATGTCGACAATCATAATTATTTCAATAAGTATATTTCGCCAAGAAAATAGTATTGAAGAAAGAAACTCAAAATATAAAAAATTAACAAAATGAATTTTTTATTTGTGAATATTTTATTAAGTGCCATCGTCCTGGCAGGATTTACATGGGGAGTAGAGGTAAGTAAAATAAAATTCGGCTGTTGTTTTCTTTAAAGAGAATATTCTTTACTGTAGAGTAATACTGTTGTTGTAATGCCGGAGGCTATGTATGCAAACCCAAATCCCGGCGCCAAGGTGGAAAATTATGTCCTACAACATCAACGTCAATTTGAAGATCACATTAAGGATTTAGATGATCAACTGGAGGATATGCGTAGTAATTTCAATATGCGTTTAGATGTTGTGGAATATTACAATGTCGTGGTGGATGTGAAACTGGGGGAGTTACAAAATAAATTGGATCCCATGGAAATGTTGGGTGATGTCAATGATTATTGTGTGGAAAAATATCGTGGTAAAATACCAGCGGAGGGTACAATTAAGGAAACGTTGAAAACTTGCATTAACAAGGCAAAAACTTCATTTACGCCACTGCTGACCAGCCCTGAAAATACCCTGAAAAATATTAAAAATCATTACAACAATCAATTCACCAATGCCATGAAGGAATGCAAAAGGAAGTTTGAGAAAAATGAATCGAAATATCAGAATTGTGCTGCTACTGGGGTAAGTTAGAAGTGGATTAAAAAACGGGAGACTTTTGTTCCACTAATTTATTTTCCAAAAATACATTTCAGATTAAAACAACCAGCAATTATTTCACCACCAATACCAACACCTTCCTCAATCAAATGACCACAGTCGAGTGTAATGCTAACACAAAAATAGATGAAGCTTTCGATTGCTATTCATCGAATGTCTATCAGACTTTCACATCAATTGGTGAAGTGACGGGCCTCATAGAGAATTGTGTTGCCGGACATGAATTCTGTCCGCCATGTAACAATGAAGATTTAGATGCAGTCAAAGGACGCTGTCCATACCAAATGGCATGGCATTTGGCCGATGATGACTTGACGGGTGATAAAATTGTTAATCCCTTTAAGGGTATCAATAGTACGACGCCATGTTTACAGGTTAATTTTATAACTAAAAATTTTGGTGTTAAATTGAATTAAAATTTTGTTATATGGATTTGAAGTTTTTATGAAATTGTTTTAATAAAAAGTTGTTATTTATGAAAAAATCTTTTTATTCGAAAGATTTAGTATTATTCATTCATTTGTATATAAAAAACGATTCGAAATTGTGTATCGAATAGAATAGAAAACATATTATATTTACCATACAGACATACAATTAATCCGATACAAAATCGTATTTATTATATAAATATCTAAATTGCGCCCATGCTCCGACCGAAGATGAAGATGAACATACATATTTTACGAGCGCCTAGAATCAGCATATAACCGTTGCCCTGGCCATGAAATCAAAATTGTGCTAGGAGATTTTAATACAAAAATCGGAAGGGAAAATACCATTGGTCCCACCATCGGAAAATTCAGCCTCCATGAAGAAACATCAGACAACGGCATGAGGTTGATTGACTTCGCGGCAGCTAAAAACATGGTATTTAGCAGCACCAGATTCAAGCATCTCGATATAGACAAGGCCATTCGGATTTCTCCCGATCGAACAACGAGAAATCAAATCGATCATGTTGTAATAGACGGAAGGTATTCAACAAGTGTTTTAGATGTCCGATCGATCCGAGGAGCGAATATCGATACGGACCATTACCTTGTGGCAGCCAAGATACGCACCCCTCTTAATGTAGCAGCAAAGGTGCGATCTAACACAACACGGAAACTCGACGTCGAAAAGCTGTAAACACAACAGGTAGTAGAAGCCTACTCCGCTCAACTTACCCAACTGCTTGATGAAAGCACCCCTTGTCACGATAATAATATAGAAGCACAGTGACAGAGAATTGACCACTCCCTAAAAACAGCAGCAAAAGCAACACTTGGGTACCAAATACCACCATCAAGAAATCCGTGGTACGATCAGGAGTGTCGTAATGCTACTGATATGAAAAACGCAGCGGGTAGGGCAACCCTGCGGACAGTATCAAAACGTAATGCTATAGAGAACTACCGGGAGAGAGGAGAAACGTATTTTCACAAAAAAAGAAGAAAGAACAAGAAAAACGTGAGCGTGAGCTAATCGAGATGTACAGGAGTCAGAATTAAGTTCGTAAATTCTACCAACGGGTAAAACACCAAACCGAAGGCTTTGGTGCAGGCACATCCCCTATAGGAATGAAGAAGGAAACCTGGTGACAGATACAGTCAACGTGCTGAGGATCTGGAAGGAGCATTTTGAAAAACTTCTGGTATCAAATAGTAGCGGTGAAGAAAATACCCCAGAACAAATAATAGATAACGGTATAGAGTGTATACCACCTAGCCAAGATGAAGTCAGAATAGCAATCAATCGGCTGAAGAATAATAAAGCAGCAGGGGCCAATGGGTTACAAGCCGAACTATTCAAGACTGGTGGTCAGATGCTGGTAAGGAGCATACACTAGCTGATTAGTACAATGTACTATGCATGCCCAATGATTGGAACCTCAGCATCCTGATTGGAACCTCAGCATTGGAACCTCATCTCGTGCACAAAAAAGGAGACAAGACGATATGTGCCGACTATAGAGGAATAAGTCTCCTTCCCATCGCATATAAAGTGCTATCCAGCGTACTGTGTGAACGACTGAAGCCAATGGTCAATGACATTATTGGACCATACCAATACGGCTTCAGACTAAGCAAATTCATCATTGACCAGATTTTTACACTGAGCCAAATCCTGGTAAAACCCCACGAAAAACACATCGACACATTCCACCTATTCGTCGACTATAAAGCCACATTCGACAGCCCTATTGCCCGTTTAAAGGTGTTTAAAGCCATGTCAGCGTTCGGCATTCCTGAAAAATTAATACGGCTATGCAGGATAAAGTCGGAAAGGACCTCTCAGTCAATACCGAACGAGGAGTCAGACAAGATGACAGTTTGTCGTGTGACCTGGAAAAGGTCATACGAGAGGCATGTTACTCACCTTTAAAAAAATTGAGAAGAAGTCTGCCAAAGTGGGTCTGGCAGTAAACGGCGAGAAGACCAAGCTGATGGTATCAACGCGCAAGACGTCCAGTAGACTCGGGCCAACTGTGGAACTTGAGAACTACAGCTCCGAGGTAGTCAAAGATTTTATATACCTTTGTACCGCCATAAATAAAACTAATCATATCAGTTTTGAAATTCGGAGAAGGATAGTGATGGCCAACCGGTGTTTAAAATACTTTGAACAGATTTTTGTGTTACAGAAGAATTTATCGTTGGAGTGTTTTAAAATAAGAGTATAAAATCCCACATTTATGACGCACACGATGGAAAACTCTCCACAGATCAAATTCTACTATTAGAACAAATAGTTTATTGATAAGTAATTTGTGTTTGAGATTAGGCTAAGCAAGTGCTGTTTAAGTAGAACCTAAGGATAAATATTTTAAAATAAAATTAGTGCCCTACAACCACTCAAATAGAACGGTCGGGAGCACTCTGTCGCAATAATTTTTTATACAGAGAAGTGCCTTACAATCACTCCACAAGAACGGTCGTGTATCGCCGTGTCTCATATATTTATTATACAGACGAGCTGCGGCTGTCTGCATTTTTTACAACCGCTGCTACTATGGTCTGAGCAAACAACTCAAAAGCAAATCCACCTCCCGCCAGACCAAACTCACACTCTACAAGACGCTGATACTACCCGTGCTGTTATATGGATCTGAAGCATGGGTTCTTGCGCAAGCAGATGAGGAAGCTCGTGGAGTGTTTGGGAGAAAAATTCTCCGAAAGATCTATGGGCCGATCTGGGTTGACGGTGAATATCGCCGTCAAATGAACCATTAGTTGTACCAGCTATTCTCGGACATCGACATTGTTAGACGTATTGAGCTGCAGCGACTACGTTGGCTAGGTCATGTTGTGAGAATGGATGAAGATGCCCTAGCCAAGAAGGCATATAAAAGCGAACCAGCTGATGGTTCACGCAGAAGGCGAAGGCCACGTATACAATGGAAAGACCAAGTGGAAGACAACATTGCAGAATATGGTCTTTCAAATTGGGAATCAAAATGGAAATCTCTTTTTAAGCTCGGCTTATTGGAACGAAAGTTCTGCCGCAATCCAGTAAGTAATTTTTTAGGTAAATTTTTAATCATTGTTAATAACTTTATTTATATATATATATATATATATATATATATATACATTTTATGTAATTTGTCTTTAGTCAACCTTCAAGAGCAAACAACTGGGAACATCGTAACGACCATAAAATGGATTGAACATTGTATCATTCTTAAGGTTAACCAAATACGATGGTATACGTTCGACGTTTTCACAATATGTTCCATTTTGATAGAAGATATTATTAGAGCCATGAATGCAGCTATCAATTTCTGACCTAACCTCAGCTAATGATGATAAAACCGTACGTTGAACATTAAAATTACAGTCTAAGGCCGATTGAATATAATCATTGGCGGAGCATGTTGCCGCCTTCAATTGTCTATTAAAGTTTCTTTGATTTGTTGCAGTATATGTTTGGGCATTAGTAACCTGTAATAATGAAATAAATAATTGATTTTTTATTTCAAACAAAAAAATAAATGTTCAAAAACATTTACCACTTCAATGAGACAATCAATGTCATTGTCACACTTTGCTACACCCTTTTCATAGGCATAATCATAGTACTGCTGTAAGCGATAGCGTATCGATATTGGTTCAGCAATCAATGTTGTTAGTGTATCATTAGCATTGGCATAACATTGTTCAATTGTCATCTTCGTGTCAGCAACTTTGGGTAGCCGATATTTATATTGGTCTACACATTTCCTATGACGATCGCCTAGCAATTGCAAATCATTTATGTTTTCGGTAGTTTGTTTTATACTAGCATACAGGAATTCCGATTGTACATCAATGGTGTTCAGACGTCCACGATAGAGTTGTTCAAACAAATCCAATTTGTAGTTGTAATCCTTTATGACGTCATTATGTTGACTTTTATTTATTGCAAGAAAAGCTTTTATTTGACTGGTGTAATTGTTCTGTAAAAAAAAATAAAAAAATAATAAATAATAAAATACCTAACCATGGTCGGAACCATTTATGTGGAGCTATAGGCTTGGATTTTTAAAGAATATTTTCTCAACCTATATCCGAGCTATAGGCGTGGATTTTATAAAGAATATTTTCTCAACGTATATCCGAGCTATAAACAATATTTTCTCAATGTATATCCGAGCTATAGGCTTGGATTTTTAAAGAATATTTTCTCAACCTATATCCGAGCTATAGGCGTGGATTTTTAAAGAATATTTTCTCAACGTATATCCGAGCTATAGGCGTGGATTTTTAAAGAATATTTTCTCAACGTATATCCGAGCTATAGGCGTGGATTTTTAAAGAATATTTTCTCAACGTATATCCGAGCTATAGGCGTGGATTTTTAAAGAATATTTTCTCAACGTATATCCGAGCTATAGGCGTGGATTTTTAAAGAATATTTTCTCAACGTATATCCGAGCTATAGGCGTGGATTTTTAGAGAATATTTTCTCAACGTATATCCGAGCTATAGGCGTGGATTTTTAAGGAATTCACAGATTCGCTATTTTATTTTCAAATTGTTTTAAATTATATTTACCTGTGCCTTGGCAGTAGCCACGATAACCAAAACAGCTAATAGTTTTCCGTAAAACATTACTCCGAATTATTTATTGAAAAATGACTGCAATAATAGTGGCAAATTGAATCGCTTTTATACCCTGATATCGAAAAATGCAATTCTTCGAATTGTTTCTTATCTAAGAAGAAGCTTCCCATCCAAATTACATCGAAGTCTATCTAATTAATTGAGTGTGCACTTCAATCCATACAATTGAATAAATTTGTTTTTGTAATTCCCAGAAGTAAAACTTTGTAAACGAAGTCTAAATATAATTTTAAACTGTTAAAAGTGATTTATTACCACCATAAGTGTGAATTAGGTACATCATCAGAGTAACAATGTAAAGGATTATTCATATCGTGGTTTCAAAATTTTTGGAACTATTGAGGAGAGGACATTCCAGAAAGTGTGTCGGAAAGTATGAGTGGATCTTAATTCTTCGGAACTACTACTAAAGTGTAATAAATTTTGGGCTTAACTGTAGTTTAGTAAAATCAATCAGATTTTTTTGAAATTTTTCTT